TTATTTTTATACTAGTATACATTACCATTTTTATTTAATTTGAATTTAAGATTCGCTTTTGACTCAAAAAATTAATATAGACAAATGCATTATAACAAAGGTACTATAAAATAAGGAGTATTATTGGAGCTAGTCAAAAAGTGAAACTCATGACTATAAAATAGGGAGTATTATTCGAGCCAGTGAAATGTTAAGCTCACAAATCTAATGATATGACTACAACATAAATACATAATGAAATGAAACAAAGAAATTGTTCAACGGTGTTCATAGAGTATTAACGAAAAAGCATTTTCTCATTAATGTTTGAGAACATGAATTTAGACTTCAAAATCAAGATTGGATCTAAATTACTTGTTTGAGAATATAAAGAATTTGAATTTGGATATAGATTTGGAACAAACTATTTTAATTCAAAACAAACACAAATACAAATTTACATCTCCTTTGTCATTTATAAATTCAAGTCGAATTTTTATTTAATTTATAAGTTACATTAAAAGAGTTATCTTCTTTCATTCAACAATGATTCTATATATATCAACCCGAAGAACAATTGAAATTTAAAATCATATGTTAATATGCCTTGAATATGTATTGTTTTCCAAAACAAGGGTCTAACCATTCAACGATCTAGGGGGTCAAGGGGGGCGACGCCCCCAGCCCGACGGTATGCTATGTTGTTGTGTTGGGCTCTAATTATTATAATGGCCTAGCCCGTCTTGTGTTCCCATTTATATAGAGGTAGGGTATAAAAACTCTGTACTCTGAAACCGCTGTCAAAATACAATCTGCCTCTGTTTTTGCCTAGGGACGTAGCTAACACAACATTGGTGAACCACGTTAAATTAGTGTGTCTTTACGTTTTGTTTGTTTGTTTCGATTACTCATTTACTCTATTTCGTGATAACATCAAAATTTCAAATAAATTCTAGTTCCAAAAATAACCTAAGGTTAATTTTTAAAATAAAAAAATACAGAGAATACGTACCTCCCGCTTGCATCCTTACTTCAGTTAAGAAATTTTCCTTCCCCCAATTAAAATTTGGTTTGGGACCTTTCAGGAGATCTGGTGCCCGCTTGGCCTCCATCTTAGGCTTACCTAATTTCTTTCCTTTGGGGGATGAGGATGAAGACATTATATGTGGCCTACAAGAGCAACAAAAATTTTTGAATGTCTTTTCTGAACAAGAGGGCGGGGTAAGGAGGCAGGACGACGAACTTACTACGGAGCATATAGCACCCATTTTTCGTCCTTAATAGCACCCCTAATTTTATTCACCCTCCTTTCTATTTTCTGGTTTTTTATAAATTTAAGAATAAATTTCTTGATAGCTTTGCACAAAACCTTTCAAAAGCTTTCCGACAACACAAAAGCTCTCTAATTTTTATTTTCTGATTTTTTTATGAATTATATTGAAGCATAATTTTCTGAAAGCTTTCCAACAGCAGACAAGCTCACATATTGTTTTTTCCGATTTTTTATGAATTGAAGCATAAGCTTCAATGAAAGATTTCCGGCAGCACAAAAGACGGCACAAAAGCACTCTGATTCTTATTTTCAAATTTTTATTCATCCTCCTTTTATAAAATCTTTAAAAAATTAATACGGAGTAACAAATAAGGTGTAAAAATGGAGGATTTCATATCTACAAATCTTGAAGAATATCAGAACGTACCTACGCCAAAAAATGAAGGCTTTCAGACGGCACAAAAGTCCAAGTATTTGCGGTTATTCATGTTATTAGAACTATGAACACATTACAATGTGGAAGAAAAGCAACATACGTATGTACATACCCGGAGTAGAGTATAGAGAGAAAATTTGCATCTGCAGCTGCAGCGCAAGACCCGGATAGACTGGTGTTGCGTTTGTGTAATAGCTTTAGAAAATTTATAAACACAGGACCTGATGCTCCGAGACGACATCTTCAAGTATTCGTCTAACATATAAGATGTCGTCCCGTACGCTAACTGACGGAGCGTGGGAGTTCACTTCTCGACACTACTAAACCCGCGTCGACCTCTTGCATCAAAGCGTTGGGTGAACCAAGGAACCTCGCGTTCAACATCGGTGAGTATGCGTAAAAAGAGAGGACGACTCATCCGAAAACAAATACTAAAATCCTCCGGTGTATAAACACACGGATTATTAAAGTAGTCGTTTAGAAGTGAAGCGTGGGTGGCCGCTCGATCGTGGTTTAAACATTGTCGTCGGGTCCATCGTCGGGAGGATTCAACTTCTTCTTCTTCACCTTCTTCCCACCATTAAATACAACTCGTGGCGAAATAACGAAAAAAGAGAGCTCTTTTTTCATCGTCGGATGAAGATGATCCCATTTTTAAAATATATTTTATAAATATTTATAATAAATAATAAATATTTTAGAGAGAAGATAGTGAGAAATGTGTGAGAGAAAGGGGGGAACTTATAGGTTTTTTTTAATTTAGATTTTTTTTATTTGGGGGGGGGGGGGCAA